CTCAGAGAAAGAAAGAACAATTAATTATATATACTGTAACCTTCAGTTGTATTTGTGATCCTTCAGTTAAGTTCTTATGAGTAGCTGTTGTCTATAGGTTTGGCTATCAATGTTTATTGTAGAAGATGTACCCATCATACTGTTCCTTATCAGGGAAAGCTGTGTGGTGCAAAGTGCAGAACAATAGTGAGAAGTAATGAGCAAAAGAAATTAAAAGCAGGAGGCAAGGGAAAAGAAAAATAAATCTATTTAAATTTAGTTTTTAATGTAAAAAACTGTATGTGTATGTGTATAAATAAACATTCGCTATATTTGTCCATACCTCTCTATCTGTCAGACCAAACTAGGAAACCAAAGTGATGCCGACCAATACTGTTTTTGTTATAATGCTGTGGTAACAGAATCCTGCAAGTCTGAATGTGCTACCCCTCCTCACTTTATCTTCATGAGAATTAGACAGGGTCTTGTCTGAGACATTTTCTCAGTTTATAGTTCTGCCCTGGACTCAGGTTTCTTTTATCTGACCATTGTTTTGGTAGCAGCTCTTCCTCCTGTTCCTCAAGTATATTCCTTATGCCCTTGCAGACCATATTTGATTCCATATGTCCATACCTTATACAGACACACATGTATACATCAGCTTTTGTTCTTTAAACATTTCCTCTCCTCACCTTTGAGAATCTTGTCAACTCCATCTAATCATGATTTCAGTTCCACTCTTTGACATATCACTATCATGCAAATCTCTAAATTGTTCTTTTGATTTCATGCCAAATTAATGCCATTTAACTTTTAATTCTATTCAGTCCACTGTCAATATTTTTGTTTGATCAAATTAAAATTCATAAATAGTGCACAAGCTTTTAAAGTTCTGCCAAAATTCTAAATCGGGCAACGCGTTCAACGAAACATTAAAATGATAGGAAGAACAGTTAATATCAAAGCCCTGGAGTAATGATTTCATCATAATCTTAAAATGAGATGTGGGACAAGGTTGCAGGCATGTTCTGAATAATTTAAAAGCTTGCATGCTATTTTGAGAATGTTGAGTTGGCTTGATAAAGGTGTTGCTGTAATAGAGATTTTGAAATGTTATTTATTCCAAATATAGTGTACAAATGATTACTATTTTTTAGTGTTGTGTTCCCTGAATTTATAAAATTGCATACATAAATCTTAAAAAAAGCTCCAGCTGGATCCCAAGACACCTTAAATATAAACTTTTTGAACCATTACAGCAGCTGCTAGGCTCCCTAGCTCAAACACAGCAGAAACATGGCTAGATGAGAATTTGGTTTGTATACTAAGATAAAAGCATGTTAAAGTTGATTCTCCTTTGCCAATATAAAGTGAAGATTCTTCTTATAATTGTCATGCTTAATTATGGCACTTCATTTTTCTGCCTTTCCCATGGTTTACTGGAAATATTGCCTTGCAATTTTCCAATTTGGACCTAGGCAACTGTTAGGTGTTGACATAACCAACATTTCTGTCCTTAATTTGGTATTTATCTGTGAATTTATAAATACATGCATGCATACAAATAACATTTCTGCCCTGAGAAATTCCTGCTCCAAACATAACTCCTACAGCAAGTGTATGAACTGAACAGGCAGCACATACATTTATCGTTGTTGTTAGTCATTATCTTCCATATTGCCTTTCTTTATTTTTACATTTTCTGCATTGATGCTGATTCTTTACTGCAGCGACTGAGGCATATAATATAATTCTTTTCTGATCTATAATTTCCTTCCTCCTGACTTCTGACTATGGATGTCAGATCATCTACAAGTAGATTCTTGAGTTTCTACCACCCAGAAATTCACTGATCATTTAGCCAGCCACCATCATTCGGCCAACTGTCTGGAGAAAATAAAATGGGTTTATGAAGGGAAGCAAATTATTTTAAAAATGGCAGGGCGGAGAAGAAAAATATCGATTTTAAATGTGGAGTTGGCATAAAATCAAAGTGAATTGTTAAGATTAGTGGCCATTTTTTTTAAAAAAAATCAGGATTACACACACACACACACACAAATAAATAAATTAATGATCAGAATTTTGAATGCTTCATGCGAAAATAATCATACATGATAGCTGCAATAATTTGGGATTGCCTGCAAGTATCATGGAGGACTGTTATTTCTGAAAAGAAAAGATCAACTTTCTCCAACTGATACCTTCTGATGCATTGGACTTCAATGCCCATAATCCCCAGTCAACATATCCATTAAATAGCTGGAGGGCATTGGACTGTGGAAAACTAGCATAAAATATGGCTTGTCTTAAAAATAAAAACTGAAGTTTAATGTGTATGTGTAAGAGGAAAAAGTGATGGGGAACCTATGACTTAAATGAATTTCCCCAATCTGGTACCCCTCAGATTTAATGGAATTCAACTTCCATAATGTTTTGCCATCATGACAACTGGTGATGTTACCTGGGGATTATGGGAGTTGCAGTCTCAGTGCACTACAGGGCATTAGGTTGAGAAGGCTACTAAATTCACACATATGCCAGACCATATCTGAAATTCCTGGCATATGGCAGCCATGTTCTTTGCTAAATGAATTTTCTCTCAGTGCATCTGTTATTGTTACTAATGACAAGAAGGAATTTGAAAACATGTTTTTAAAATTCTGAATAAAAAGAGCATCAAGGTTTTTTTGTATCATTGTCAGTCCAAAGCTTGCTTGCTTTTTCTTTCTTTCTTTCTTTCTTTCTTTCTTTCTTTCTTTCTTTCTTTCTTTCTTTCTTTCTTTCTTTCTTTCTTTCTTTCTTTCTTTCTTTCTTTCTTAGACTGTAGGTGACTTACAGAATTTACATAATAAAAACAAGATATACAGTCAGAATAAAATTGCTATTCCAACATTCATTATTTTATGTTCCTCCTGTGAATTGTGTATTTCCATTGTGCCTGTATGCACATGAAAAAAAGGACTTCCATTCACCATTATTTCCAATCCTCAATCTTTCGAAAGCAATTTGAAGATCATGTACTGTTCCACTGACCTTGCAGTCCTAAAAGCAAGGAACAATCATTGTCTGCCTCATTTACTTCAGGATGTGGAGAAACAAAACTTTCCTATCCTCTGCCACATACAAAAGAAAATAATATAAATAGTTAACCCTATCCCATCCACATTAATTCAAGTTGTATCAATTTGTTTGGTTGTATGCA